CTTTAGGGGTGGGAGCTCCTGATTCTGCTTCAGGATCTAACCGAGATGGTATCAGAATCTTCCCCATCCTTCTCTTCTTCTTCTTCTTCTGCGTCTTTGTTCTCCTCCACTGTCTCAGGTCCATCTGCCGCTTTCTGTTGTTGCTTCAGGAACATCTGCTTTATTTTTTACTTGCTGAAGTTTTGAGTTCCTTTTGCAACGTATCAAGCTTGACATTAAAGTTGGTCATCTGATTCAGTAGAGGGCGCAAAGCTGCAGCCATCAGTTTGGGAAAGTCTGTGGTTACTTCTGGACTAGCAGCCGGCAATGATGTGCTGGCCATTCCTGTTTCGCTTTCCGTGCCATTTTTTTCTGCTCGCTGCATTATTGTTTACACAAGGGGAAAGTTTAAAAGTTCTCTGTAAGTCTGGTCATTTATTGCTTTTTTGCTGGTCTGCCGCACACTCCATCGTAATCCACTTCCTTCAAGCTGCCCTTTCAGTCTCCTGCTTTATACTCAGTCTTTTCAGGTTAGGGCATTCCCCTCCCCCTTCCGCTTGTTTGGGGCTTTGGGACGGCTGTACTGCTAGCATTTTATTTATTGTTTGCTGGGTCACAGCTTCACTCACATTTGTACTTGTGTTCGTTGCGCATGTAGAGACGATAATTCCTTAGGATCTTTGTATGCTCGGTCCAGTGTACACCTCTTAGTGCCATACTGGCTCCGTGCCGCGGGGGCCTATCGGGGGCAAAAAGATGCCTCAATCCTTTGGCTTCTGCCTTGGGAGAGGCACCTCTCGTGCCCCAGGCTACAACCCCTATACAGGGGGACTGGGGGGGGTCCAAGATCAACTCGGACCCCCCCATTGGCACGTTTGAGGGGCACTCACATCAGAGCTACGATAAAGCACACCCACCTGCGAGTCACCAAAATCGGAAGTCTGGAGGCCTTAGATCTAGATGGTTGTTGTGTGTCTGAGAATTTAGTTTTTGGAGCATATGGTGACCTGTGAGTGGTCTGTGGCTGTTGGTTCCTCCATGTCTGATTAGGTGATTGTTTATTATACTGGCATTTAGGCTAGGATCCTGACCAGGTTTTAGGCATGTAGGTGTGGGGGTTAGCAGTAACGCCAAGAATGTGAGATGATTTGATGCTTTTATCCATTTCCTGAAGGGCACTATGAGTCATCAAGTTGAAAAGACCTTTGCCGTCAAAGGGGAGGTCCTCTACGTAAGAACGTGTGTCAGGGTGGAGGGTTGTCATTCAGAGCCATGAGTGTCTCCTTAGGGCAATAGCAGAGGCAATCATCTTGGAGAAGGTATTGAGTGTGTGTTTCGATGAGCTGATTTGCTGTTTTGCAAGTATCATGCCTTCCTTTTTTAGCCTTCTGGCAGCTGTGCATTTGCCTTCAGGCAGGTCTGCAAGCAGTTTGGAAAGTTGTTCCCAGAGGGAATATGATAGTGTCCCATACATGCTAGATAGTTGGCATTTTTTAGTCCAAGAAGTCCAGAGGAGTAGAATTTCCACCCAAAGGAGTCTAGGTTTTTGCGCTCCTTATCAGCAGGGGTTGAGTGTGTATGCTTGCTTTTAGAAGATGAGGTCACCACCATGGAGTTTGATTTGGGATGGCAGAACAAAAACTCAGCTCCAGTCTCTTGAACCCTATACATGTGATCCAGTCATTTGGATGAAATAGGAGTTGATTCTGGTTTGTTCCATGGTATCTTAGTGGCTTGTAGCATCGCTGTCATCATGGGTAGTGCTACGGCTGTGGAGGTATTTAGCTAGATTACATCAAAGACTGAGTCTGTTACTGCAAGTTGTGGTTGGATAATGGACAGGCCAAGTGAATTGTGAATTTCCTGCATTGTGCAGGGGATTGGACTAGATGATCCTGGAGGTCCCTTCAAACTCTATGATTCTGTGATTCTAAGTGTATGGGCCGTTTGACCAGGTCACCATATGATTTCAAGTCTTTGCCATTCATTTGACAAGGTCACCATATTATTTCAAGTCTTTGGATGGAGTTATGGCTAGGTTGCCTGTCACCTGTAGGGTTGGTGAAGTGTTGGTATATGAAGTTTGGTGCCCAGGGGCCTCCCTGTCCAATCCTCTGGTTGATGCATTTTCCAAATCGTTGGCATTGTAGGCCTCTGAGGTCTGTGAGATGTGCAGCCGCCCGTTGCTATGGGTCGGGTATGCCGATCACCAAGTTGTGATTGGTACCAATGCTAAGGCCGCAGTGGGTTCCACTGGTGTCCCTTTGTGTGTGCTTTTGTGCTGTTTGTGAGGATGGCTCATCGATGCTGAAAACTTGGTAGTCAAGGGCGGCAGTAATGGAACTCTCTGCCGGAAGACATCCATGCCTTGCAGGAGTTATTACATTTCCGCAGGGCATGTAAGGCAGAGATGTTCCGCCAGGCATTTGGTTGTATGACATCTGGCACTCTCATACACTTCCCCATCCCTCGCAACCTTCCCCCCCAAGGAAGCCAGGGGAGCCGATTTTTCCACCATCTGGTATATGTACTTTGTTTCTGTTTATTGATCTGTTTTTAAAACTGTTTTAATATTGTTTTAAACTAAAGATTTTTGTTATCACTCTGTGGTAAGCCACCCTGAGCCCTACCTGTAGGGAAGGGCAGCTAGCAAATTGAATTTAATAAAAATTAAAATAAAATAGATCTGTGAGGTGATCAAGATCAACGCGAGTGTGTTGAGCATTGATCCCAATTGGAGGGTCCCCTCATGTTAAGCCAAGGGAAGGTCGATGGAAGTGGAAAATCCCCACAGAGGTACAGTAGTTGCCACTTGTCCCAAGGGATTAGGGGAGGTGAATTCGGCAGCTGCAAAGGAGGAGGCACCTCATTGTGAAGTGAGCAGTGTCACTGTTGAGGGGATGACTGCTGGAGGCAGGATCTGTTCCGGTGAGTGTCTGTTCGAGTATTGGATAGGCAATGTTGAAATTAGTCACTGACCATCAATTGCGATGGAGAGGTACCCCGGCTTGATGATCTGGAGTAGGATGAGCAAGATGGAGTTCAGCCAATGGATTGGAAAGTTCAGCAGTTGCATTGGTGGAATTGCTGTGATCTATGTAGGGTCATGTTTTTTTAAATTATTTTATTAAATTTTTATCCTGCCCTCCCTACCATAGCAGACTCAGGGTGGCTTACATACATATAAATGTATACATTAAAAGTCCAAAATAGATCCCACAGGGCCCTGATATCATCCGGAAGCTCATTCCACCAGTAAGGGGCCGCCACAGAAAAGGCCCTGGCCCTCATTGCGGCCAGCCTGGCTTCTTTAGGACCCAGAAGAACCAGGCGAATTTGGGATCCCAATCTTAGTGCTCCCTGGGGGACATATGGAGAAAGGCGGTCCCTTAGGTAAGTAGGTCCCTGGCCATATAGGGCTTTAAAGGTAAGAACCAGCACCTTGAACTGAATCTGGTATGCTATAAGCAGCCAGTGCAGTGCTTTTAGGGCGGGCTGGATGTGTTCGCACAGAGGAAGACACAACAACAGCCTCCAGATCTGGGACAAGGGCAGCCCCATGTAGAGAGCATTGCAGTAATCCAGTCTTGAGGTGGCCATTGGATCACTGTTGCCAGGTCATTGCATTCAAGGAAGGGAACCAACTGCCTAATCAGCCATAGGTGGTAAAAGGCAGACTTTGCAGTGGCTGCTACCTGGGCCTCCATCGTTAAGGAGGTGTCCAGAAGCACTCCCAAACTCCTAACCTCCAGCGTTGGCACCAACGGCACCACATCAAAGGTCGGGAACAGGGATCCCTAACCTTGGCCCGTTCCGACTCAGGCACAGGACCTCAGTCTTCATTGGACTCAATTTCAGTCGACTTAGTCTAAACCAACCAGCCACAGCTTTCAAAGCCAGGTCCAGATCTCCTGGACTAGAGTCTGACTGGCTGCCCAACAACAGATAGAGCTGGGTGTCATCCACATATTGGTGACAACCCAGTCCATGCCTACAGGCAATCTGGGTAAGGGGGCGCATACAGATGTTAAATAGCATTGGGGAAGGGTGCAAAAATCCTTTTGCTGAGCTTGTAAATTTACTGGTCGGAGCCAGTGCAGACACCGTAATCCCACAAGAGTGATGCACAGGGATCATGGCAAAGATCTACTGTTATACTTTAGGAAACGGGAATAATACAGTATGACTTTAGAGATACCTTCTGTTCCTGATTATGCTAGGTACCTGCCCAGGGATGTTGCTACGTGCATTTATTGTCAGATGAGGAATAAGATGAATGAATAAATTACCTTTGTTCTATAACTCTGGGATCTGAAGCTTGACACAGCTTGCAAAGTGTTTATAGAGTATACATCATGAAATACACTGGAAACATCCTCATGGTGAATATACTTTTGTTGTGATGCAAAAGCCCACCATAGGACATGGTAAAGAAAAAAAAAATCAATCCCATGCTGTTAGTCACAAACAGTGACCTAGTAGTACTGGGTTGAAACATTCCAACTTTTTCACTCAATCTCAACAATTACCCTCCTTAACACAGCCTCTGTTCCACTTGGCTTTTGTCCACACAGGTACCATGATACCTGGAATAACCTTCTAAGTGGTCAAAGGAGACCCCCTCCTCCCCTTTTCACCAGTGGAAAAGCTGGTTTAAAAATCTGGGCACTGAATCCAGAATTAACTGATTGAGGAATCCAAGCTATGACATAAAAAACCCTTAAAATGTAAAGGTGCATCTTGTCTATTAAGAAGAATCCACATCTTGGACTCATCGAGGTAAATAATCAAGCTCACTCTTCCAGTCCTCAAGTCATACTTCTGCATCTGTGGAAGGAGATTACTATAAATGCAGACCAATAAAACAAGTAAAATAGAAAACCATGATATTTTTGTGCCAAAATGAAAATATTAACTGGAGCCACCACACATCAGCATAAATATTAATTTCCCTTCTCTATTGATATGTACAAAAATATATTTTCCTTTTTATTCATTTAAATGATCCCCCCCCCCCAGCCTCAATCCCAGCCAAAGTCCTGTCCAGTCATCTGGTAGAACTTCATGTTGAAAGGCCTGTAGAACTCTCGTAGCCTCTGGACCACCTTCTGGTCAATGTTCGGATGGGTCCGCCCTTTCGTTTTGCCCAGGCAATGAGGCTTGCTACTGCCTTCTGCCTTTTTCAGGCAGGGGAAGCCTTTAGTCTTGTTGAAGTAGAAGTGTTTATCTGTAATGATCCTTTTGAGACCTAAGAAGTCCTGGACCCGGCCTAACTCACCCGCAGGGTCACTGATTAGCCTTTCCCCACTGACAAAGAGAATCTGACCAATGGGGAAATATAGGAGCCAATTTTCCAGATGCTTGGCATAAATGCCAATCTGGATGGCACTCCAGGAGGTATCGATGAGGCCCGTAGTCCTGTTTTTGAAGGTCAGGCTCTCAAAGGTGGGGATATCAGGCTTCTTGGACAGAGTTTGTGTGTAGTCAGAAATGGCTCTGGTAACTGGGTCTCTCACCACCACAATAAGCTTTGTGCCCTTTGACATGGCAGCGATGCGAGCAGGTGCTTCCTTGGTGACAAAGTAGCTGGGAGTTTTCTCCATGGTGATCTGCCCATCAAGTGTTCTTGGCATCAAATCCCTAAAATGAAACAGAAGGGAGGGAAAGGGTGTGTTATAAAAATAAGTAGATCTGTAACAATATGTTTGCACATGCCTAATGTTAGGTGGTTTTCTTAGACTTGGCTAACTTGGTTTACCATTTTTGACAGCAGACACATTTCAGTCACAGAGGAGATGGGACTCATACATGAGCTCCCCAAAACATGGAAGATTCTGATTTTTTGAGCAGTGTTCAAACTTTCAATTTTTAATAAATTGCTGCCTGGTGCCTTTAATATTTAAGCTAAATTTTACTCTTTGAGGTCTTACTGACTGACAGTCATAATGATTTTTATCTCCACTGTCATCATAATAGCATACTCTGTATTCCCCCCCCCCCATAATTCCATCAAGCGGCATGCTCATCAGGGTAAATTATTCTTTTCGAACAGGTTCCCTGGCATCTCTTAATCCATTTTCTAAAGCTTAGCTATGCAATATTAAATGTTCTTGAAGGGGGGAGAACTCCATCTAGAAGCAATTTTATAATCCTTACTCCACAGTCATGACAGTATAGTTTCACACATCCCAGATTCTAAGCACCAGTATGACTTGTATCAGTCCTGAGTTAGAGACAATGCAGATAATTTTGCACAGGTTGATTGATCTTCAGTGCTGATAATGGGAACTGTTTAGACTACATCACAAAATGCTCTGGAAATTCTAGTGTGATTTTCTTCACCCCTCCCTCACTGGAATACAGTATCATTAATTAAACTTAATGCATAAGACGTTTGGGACAGACAAAAATCATGCACCAGTTCACACTGTGTAATTAACTTTTGGAAGTCACTATCACAAGAAATGGTAATAGACATCGTTTTAAGAGGGATTAGCCAATTTAATGGAGGATATTAACAACTATTGGCTATGACAACAAATACAATCCTAATGTTCAAATGCAATATAACTCTGAATACACAGCATGTAGCTGATGCCTTTATGCCCTGCTTCTGTCTTCTAAAGGCTTCTAGCTAATCACAACTGTAAACAGGATGCTGAACTAAATGGACCCTTAAAAAAGGTAAAGGTTCCCTTGCTCGAAAGCCAGTCGAATCCGACTCTAGGGTTGCGGTGCTCATCTCCATTTCAAAGCCGAAGAGCCAGCGCTGTCTGAAGACGTTTCCGTGGTCATGTGGCTGGCATGACTAGACACCAAGGTGCATGGAACGCTGTTACCTTCCCACCGAAGTGGTACCTATTTATCTACTTGCAATTTCTTGCTTTCGAACTGCTAGGTTGGCAGGAGCTGGAACTAGAGACAGGAGCTCACCCCGTCTTGCGGCACCCGGGTCTTGAACCGCTGAACTACTGACCTTCCACAGCCTGCAGTTCAGTGTCTTAACCACTTGAGCCACCGCAGCTCCTTAGTCTGATCTAATAAGGCTCTTTTTATATGCTCTTTTAAAAGTTCCAAGCACATTAAAGTAGATGACCAATTTAAGTAGTTACAGCTAAAGTATTGCCTCATCATGAGAAACACCTTGTAATTCTCTTGTTCATACGCCATATAAACTGCCCTAGAATTCAGAGATTACAAGGTCAAAGACAGAAAATGATACTGAATGCTATGCAGAATCTTACAGGGCAGGGAGGAAAAGCAAAGCTACACATTGCTTCAAAGTTAGAGTACAAAGGTGTTCCCCCCCCTTTTTTCTTTGCACCTAATGGACTTTGTCATAACCATCTGCATCAATCCCAAACCAGGAACACAATCTTTGGAAGAAATTAAAGGGAGTGTACATTAAAATAGCATCATTGGTCCTCAATAGCCAGATTTTTCTCTGAGGTCAATGAACTAAGTAATTACCTTTGAAGGCTCTACCAATGTCAACATGAAGTCTGAGTTTTGGTCTACCAAGAAGTTGCAAGTGTGAGATGGATTTTCAGGAAGAAGAAGAAGAGATTGGATTTATACCCCGCCCTTCACTACCCAAGGAGTCTCAGAGTGGCTTACAAACTCCTTTCCCTTCCCCTCTGCACAACAGACACCCTTGTGAGGTAGGTAGGGCTGAGAGAGCTCTGACAGAAATGGCTCTTTTTCAAGAACAGCTGTGCGAGAACTATGGCTTGCCCAAGGTCATCCAGCAGGTGCAAGTGGAGGAGTGGGAAATCAAACCCGGTTCTCCCAGATTAGAGTCTGCGCACTTAACCACTACACCAAACTGGCTCTTAACCACTACATCAAACTGGTCCTGGACAGGCAAAACACGGGGAGAAGATGACCAACACTGAGAAGATGACCAACACTAATGTTCTAAGACTTTGAAATATTATGCTCAGCACCATATTTCAATAAGATTGTTGATAAAATTGAAAAATACACAGAGAGAGACTGAGAGAGGGGGGAGACAAAGAAAGAGCAGGCACTATGGTCTTAAAGAGCAAGCCCAATAAAGAAAATCTGAAGGAACTAGTAACTTTTAGCCTGGAGAAAAATATTATTTATTTGTACCTTTTACTTTCTACAAGGAAGTATGAGCAAAGTTTTAGTCTCAGAAATTTTGTGAAACACTGTTTCAAAACTCCAACAATGTATCACACTCAGCTTTCCAAGAATAACCTTCTAAAACAGTTTAATCAGAGATGACAGTGGAACAAAAAAAGAAATAACGTCTTTATCAAACAACATTTAGCTCATTTAATATATATATATACTCTGTTTGCAGACTAGGTCATCAGTTTCGCCTGCAGTATCTGCAATGCAATGAGAAAAAAAATCTTATATTATGTACATTCTATTGTAAAATAGATTTGTGACAATTATTTTAATTAAAAGCTAGGAGACTCATAATCTGTTCTTCTTGTATATTAGTACGTCATCAGTATGACACCTCCTCCCATTGCTGCCACTGAGTAGCCTTCACAATTTAAAACTAAAAGTTGTAATGTGTGATTATTCGTACATAGCCCTGCACTTTTTTTCCCCTCTGGGATTGATCTGCACACAGCATAGAGGCTATAAGAGCTTTTTGCTGTAAGGGCTTTTTACTCTTAGGACATATAAAAGCATCTGAAAACTATTAGGTGACACATAACTGGTTCTTGCCATCTGGTTCTTGAACACTTCCACCCTTATTAAAATAAACCTGTTCTAGCAATGGTCAACCCAAAGCTAATCTCATCAAATCCTATATGGATTTCCCCAGATTTCACAATATGCCTGTATCTAACTTGAATTATCTTTTGTAACAAAGTTATGTCAGACTGACCATATCTTTTTTTTTCAAAAAAGTTACTACCTTGTTGGATCAGGGGAGTGCTGTAGAAATAGTTCACCCTGATTTCAGTGAGGCTTTTGATAAAGTTCCACATAATATTCTTGTTGACTAGTTGGTAAAATGTGGTTTGGATCCTATTACTGTTAGGTGGATCTGTAACTGGTTGACAGATCACATCCAAAGAGTGCTTATGAATGGTTCCTCATTATCGTGGAGAGAAGTGACAAGTGAAGTGCCTCAAGGATCTGTCCTGGGACCTGTTTTGTTCAACACCTTTACAAATGTTTTGGATGAAGGAATAGAACGAATGCTTATTAAATTTGCAGATCATACTACATTGGGAGGGGTAGCAAATACAGTAGAAGACAAAGTTAGGATACAGGAAGATCTTGACAGGCTGAAAAACTGGGCTAAAACAAATAAAATTAATTTCAATGGGGATAAATGTAAAAGTTCTGCATTGAGGTAGGAAAAATTCAATGCATAATTATAGGATGCATAATTATGGGATGGTGGGAGACTTGTCATAGCAGTGCTATCTGCAAAAAGGATGTAGGGGTCTTAGTGGACTATACACTGAACTTGAGTCAGCAGTGTGATGTGGTAGCTAAAAATGCAAATACTATTTTGGGCTGTATCAAGAGAAGTATAGTGTCCAGACCACACAAAGTGATGGTATCACTTCACTCTGCTCTGGTTAGACCTCTCTGAGAGTATTGTGTTCAGTTTTGGGCACTACAATTTAAGAATGATATAGACAAACTGGAACATGTCCAGAGAAGGGCAACAAAGATGGTGAGGGGTCGGGAGGCCAAGTCCTATGAGGAAATGTTGTGTCAGAATTGGACCCTTGCTCGGGTCATCAGGCCATCATACTTGTAACTATGGTTCTCTGATGTACATAGCTATGCTCTGTTATTGCTTCGCCAGCTGTTCTCCCTCCCCGCTTGTAGTTCCCGAGTTCCCGTTTAGCACCTGCTGGCATTGTATCAATCTGTCTGCAAGGTCCTCCTCTGATATTCCTGGGAGAGGGGGCGATTGAGACATGTCTGTGTGAACTGTAGATTAGCTGCACTTGTACCTCTGTGAAAGGAACCATTCTCCGCAAAGGCCAGAGGGAACTTTCGCCGTTTCTCATTCTCATGGCCTTGTGGAGAGACTCAAGTGATAACATTCACATTGTCCTAAATGCACTGTATTAACCTGTCTAAGCACTATGTAATCATGATGGCTGGACCAAAGGTGTTGTAGTTTCCCACTTTGTATTATTCCTTAGTTCTGTCAAAAAGTTCAACTGCACAGCAACTAAATCAGTTTTCTCAATAAAACCTGTAAAAGGACTTATTGCCTCTGAGTGGTTCCTGACAAAGCTGACAGGTTGAAGGAGCTGGGTATGTTTAGCCTGGAGAAAAGATGACTGAGAGAACATAAGAGCATAAGAGGAGCCAATGTTGGATCAGACCAATGGACCATCCAGTCCAACACTCTGTCACACAGTGGCCAAAAATATGATAACTATCTTCAAGTACCGGAAGGGCTGTCATATAGAGGATGGTGCAGAATTGTTTTCTGTTGCCCCAGAAGGTCGGAGCAGAACCAATGGGTTGAAATTAAATTAAAAGAGTTTTCGGCTAAACATTAAGAAGAACTAATTAATAAACATAAACACAATTTCAACAGGAGAGAAGAGAGTTTTAAAATAAATACGGCATGGTTTCCTGTCCTGTAAAACACAAAATGTTCTACATCTTACAACAGC